GGCAATCATGTTCAGTCTATAGTCTACTTTCAGCATGCATCTCCCATCTTGGGAGGATCCTCCCAACACCCTTCATTTGGTGCTCCAGCCCTCTATTTCTTAAGGTGACTTGAATGTGTTTCTGTCCTTGTGGTCAAAGATGGTCCCATAGCAATGAAAGCAATCCTTTTCTTTTTACTAACTATAAACAATCTCTGATTCCCCCCCCCCCCCGCCATCAGATAGCCTATACATAATCTCACACATTTAGAGGCTATTTTGCCTATATTTGGAATCACAAAAAAAAAAATCACTTGCAAAGTATCTCTTGCTTGGACTGCCTTTAAATTGCTCTTTATTTTTGTTTTTTCTACGTCACTGCCACATGTAGACAGTAATAATTTACATCCAAGTAAATGTAGGAGATTTTGTAGCACTGAGTCAAGAATAAAAAACAGAATCCTACACAAAGCCTTAGTAGTCTCCCCATTCTCTCCTGCCTCCCACCCCTCCTCCTCATATCTGGGCTGATTTCAAGGCCCAGGACAAGTAGTTTTTCATTGGCAACACCTGATTCTTTTGATCTCTGTAGAAGAAACTTGGCTACCAAAACAGTTAGAAAACTGGGAAGAGGACAGGTTGTATCATAAATGGATGCACCTCAGAATCCCTTTCCTACCACGTTATAACAGAATTATAATGTTATTATATACATATATATATATATATATATAGTTCCTTGTCCCACAAAAAACACATCTTTCAAGTCAGTGATTCACAATCACAAGTATTGGAAATGGAGTGGGAGGGATACTGTTAACACACAGACTTGGTTAGAGTAATATGAGTATTCAGTCACCAGGAATACTAAATGCCCTAAAATGAAGGAGAAAGTTCTATAAATGATGAATCATTCCATCAAAATGCTAATAGTGCCTATGAACAGGGGCTATCCAACATCTGGGACAGATAAAAGAAGGAAAAAGTGAACTGAAAACAAGAGAATAAGAGGCCAGAGCAGTAATACAGTGAGTGCGGTGCTTGCCTTGCACATGCCAACCTGGGTTCAACCCCCAGCACCCCATGTGGTCTCCCGAGCACCGTCAGGAATGATTCCTGAGTGCAAAACCAGGAGTAAGAGCTGAGCACCACCAGGTGTGGTCCTAAAACAGGAAAAAAGGAAGGAAGAAAGAAAGGGAGGGAGGGAGGGAGATGACAAATGACCAAAAGCAACAGAAACTGAGAAGTGGTATTCAGTAGGAAGCTTACAAAAGTGGGAAGATTTGGGCGGGGGCGGGGCAGTGGTGACCACTGGGACAGCGGTGGAGGGAAGTGTACACTCTACTGAAGCATGTGGTACTGGAACATTTTGTGTATGAAACCAGATCCCATTAACAGTATTGTAAGTCATGGGGCCTAAAATTAAATAAATTCTGGGAAAAAAATCTATGAATGTATGAAAGAGATCGATAAAGGAAAGTATTGTTTGACTTTTCTACATTAAAACCAAGATAGAGTAGATCAATTATGCATTTTGTGAGTATGCCTAATAAATACTAGCACCAGAGACATAGCAAAGCTTAATTTAAATCTTCCAATTTAGATCTAATCCCTGCACTAGTCCTTTGACTTACAGTCAAATTGAAATTTTATATAAGAGTAACATAATTACTTGTGTCATATTAAAATATTTTATCACCCAAAGAATGTATCACTGTATCACTGTCATCCCGTTGTTCATCTATTTACTCGAGCAGGCACCAGTAATGTCTCCATTCGTCCCAGCCTTGAGATTTTAGCAGCCTCTCCTTACTCGTTTTTCCCAATGCTGCTGTATTGGGGGCTCTTTCAGGTTCAGGGGAATGAGACCTGTTATTGCTACTGTTTTTGGCACATCGATTATGCCATGGGTAGCTTGCCAGGCTCTGCCGTGTGGGCGGGATATTCTTGGTAGCTTGCTGGGCTCTCCAAGAGGCAAAGAATGTATGTTGATAATAATTCCATTCCATATTCCCAAAGAGAAGAAACACAAGGTTTTAGAATAAAAACAGATTTCTCCAATCCTCTTGTCTTTATAGCATTATCTGAAAAAAAAATCTAATCAAAGAACAACACTTTGATTAGTTTAGACGGATATTTTTCTTTGTGTATTGTGGCCACTTTAACAAGTCATTTTTTTTAAATGATTCACCATGAGATACAGTTACAAAGCTTTCATGATTGAATTTCAGTCATAAAATGATCAAACACACATCCCTCCACCAGTGTACATTTTCCACCACCAAGGTCCCCAGTATCCCTCCTGCCACCCCCACCCAGGCCCCACCCCCACCTCTGTGGAAGACAATTTCCTTCTTACTCTCTCTCTACTTTTGGGCATTATGGTTTGTAATACAGATACTGAGAGGTCATCATGTTTGGTCCCTTATCTACTTTTAGTACACATCTTCCATCTCAAGCAATCCCTCCAACCATCATTGACCTGGTGATCCCTTCTCTATCCCAGCTGCCTTCCCCCGTACCCTGTCCCTCCCCCCCACACACACCCCTACCAGCTCATGAGGCAGGCTTCCAACCATGAGCAATCTTCCTGGCCCTTAACAAGTCATTTTAACATCAAGAGATCACTCCAATAAAAGTAATTAACTTACTCTTCTGAATAGTCTTCTTCCATCCTCCCTCAATTTTTCCTTTATTCCACCAAAAAAAGAAACTTTATCCAGAATATATTGTTGTGGTCATGCATAAAATAATGCTTTCAGATAAAATTACAATCCAGTTTTGTTCATTATTTCCCACACTCACCATTCACCCTTTAAACTTTCAGTATACCTTAGTTACTGCTTTTCACAAGGATTAGTAAGGATCCTTGGAATTTCCTTCCAGAAATTTGAAAAATAGGCATAGTTTATTAGTAATTATAGTCTCAAATCTACAGGGTTCCTAATGCTATGTCTGGTTTACAGATAACTCGACTGTAAAAGGAAACTGCAAAGTGAGACCAAATTATTAAATTATGGTCTTAGGCAAACTCAGAGCAAAACTAAATCACTGTAATCATTCAGCAGGATTCTAAACCTGGGGCAAATCCATTCCTACCCCCACACAGTTTATAATACTGATATATATTTTTTGTTGTCAATATTGTAGTAATAGTGACATGACTGAAAAGAGGCCAGAATGCTGTTAAATATGCTAAGATACGCAATTATGTCCCAAAAACAAAAATTGGCTGGTACAATAAGTCAACAAAAAGAGAAACTACTGGTCCTCTGATATCTCTAGTTTTTTCTGGCTTCATAAACAATAGTTTAAAATCATTCCCTCCACAATTTGATCCTTGTATAGTATTTACATGAAAATTACACCTAGCGTGCTGTATACTTTTTAAGCTCTTCAAACAGAGAGATGAAAATCTCTCTCTCTCTCTCTCTCTCTCTCTCTCTCTCTCTCTCTCTCACACACACACACACACACACACACACACACACAGGAAAAAGAGATGGATTCATAGAATAAAATAGAAAAAGCTAGCAAATTTTGGATTTCTTTTAACAAGATCTAGTAAACACTAAACCTAGAAAATACTGGGTCTTTTACCTTCAAGCTCTAAACCCATAGTTTGTGTCAGCTATTTACCTGAACTCTTCAGTTAGTTGCACTGCAGATGCCTTTTCTCTGCTGCATCTCTAAACATATTCATCACTGAATATGTAATAATATTCATCATGAATAGTAATGATGTATGTTTATGGGAATCTCCAGAGAGCTACAGGCCCTAATTGTCTTTTTAGTTCAGTAAATAGTACTCTTACTGAGTCATGTGAGGCAATTATGGACATCAGACTTCCAGGTGCCCTCTGCTGTATCCTGGGTAATTATTTAGCACACAGCATTGATTTGAGAAGCTTAAAACAACTGCTCACCCAGTTTTTCATCTGAGTGCTTACTTATTAAAAAAAAAAACTTTTTTTTATTGATTGAGGTTCTGTGAATTACAATACTGTTAATCTGTTAATGATGGTTTCCCTTGCACCCCCCACCAGTGAACCCACCTCTCTCCCTCAAGTGTCCTAACACTCACTCCTCCCTCTCAAACACTACCCCCAAGCCCACTCTCTGGCTCAGTTCTCCTGTTGTGCTGCTTTTGGCCCTTTGTTGCCCTTGTGCATCTCAAGTCCCACATAATAGCTGTTTCCTTCTTTTTCTCTGTTTTTAAGCCTCCCTCCCCCACCGTGACTCTTTCCTACCCATTCTTAGCTCTGCTTATATTTGTATTAATTATAATTTCCTCTTTGAGGAGTCTGATTTTAGTTTAAGCTACAGAAACTGGTGATATCAGAAAAGATGCAATTTCCTTTCCATTCATCCTTTTGTGGACCCATCTAAAATTTCAGAAGGTCATGTCAATTGTCATCCTAGTCTCAAAAATCTTTAGCAAAATGAAAATTCAAAGTCAATTTTGCTTGTAATGGTCCCAATGGTATTAAATAAGTAAGAAATGACTGGACATATGACTTCCATAGTGACACTGAATAAAATTAAACAGACTAGGCAGAACCATATGCTCTGCTAGTGCTCTAGAAAGCTATTTCCCCACTGGGGGGGGGGGGGGAGGGAACGATTAATAAAGGAAAAGTTAAGGTAAGTGAAATGAAGGATAAGTTAAGAAAAGTGATCCAAATAGGATCAGGGAAATAAAAGTGAACAGAACTAACAATATAATAAAGTTTACCCAATAGAAAGGCAAATAGGTCTAGTTCGTTTTCTACAGCATATCTCTATCTCCCATGGAAGTCACTTTCCATACAAACTGACTTAATTTTCCCATAGTGATACATTTCTCAGTGGAGATTCCATCCCATCACCCTGACCAGAGATTTCTCATCATAACTATTCATTTATATGGTTCTTTAGTTGAACCAAATATAACTTTAGAAGTATCAATATATTCATTCCAAGAAACTGGTAGAAAAGAACTTAGTAAAACCAAAAAACAATAACAGAATTCTTTGCCTTACCCTGGAGGAAAGGATGTGAGAGTCTTCAAATATATTTAACATCCACATGACCCATCAGCTCTGCGGTTTGCACCATTCACTTGTGCATGTAAGACCACAGCCAGCAAATCACCAACTGTCAAAGATAAATACAAATTAATCTAGGCTAGAGAGATAGTATGGCAGGTAAGGCGCTTGCCTTGCCATGCTGCTGATCCGGGTTTGATCCCTGGCATCCCATATGGTCTCCTGAGCACGACCAGGAGTGATTCCTGAGTACAGAGCAGGGAGTAACCCCTGAAAATTGTCAGGTATCACCCCAAAACAGACAAACAAACAAACAAAAATGAGTGCATGAGGCCAAAGGGCCCATAACTTCAAGCCCTACACTACTGCTCATGGGAATCTAGTAGAGCAAATGCTAAGTGCATAACACATAGATCTAAACAAATATAATGAATCAAGTTCGATAAAGGTTTATGTCTGATTCATACAGGATAAATAGCTGAGTGGCCTGGCCTGAATAGTCAGGGTCAATGGAATAGCCCTCCCTGATACAGTGATCCCAGAACCCAAGGTGACAAAATTACTGCCATCTTTAAGACAATTTCAAGTGTCCCACAGAGATTATCTCTGTTCCAGTCATGTAGTAGCAGAAAACAGTACAAAGGAACATACATGGGTATTCCCTATTAGTTCCCCCTCCCCAAAAGGTAGATCAGAATACTTTGCATTTGTACTCACATTCTATTGGCTAGAACCAAGTCACAGAGCCACACTGAGACTATGGGCTATTGTACAGGTAGAAGTTAGTTTTTGATTATAAAAGGCAGATCAGAGTACAGACTTCTGAGTAAAATATTAGCACAAAAACCTTGGTTTTTCTATAGTGGTTTTCCTAGATGTAAAATAGGATGTAAAATACCTGCTTTCCTCACATGTTCAATATAAGATTTAAAATGAGACAAAGAAGTACTGCTCAGATTTTAATTTGTACACATTCAGCTGGGCATCTCCATAAAAATGCAGATTATAATTTAATAGGTCATGAGTGAAACCTGAAATTCAATATTTCTAACAGGCTCTGAGATGACACAAATGCTGTTCTCTGATCACATTTTAAGTAGAAAAAGAAAAAATATATTTTATTTTATTTTATTTATTATTATTATTTTTTAAAATTTTTATTTAAGTACCATGATTTATTAGACTGTAAATAGTAGTGTTTCAGGCATACAATGTTGCTACACCCCACCTATCACCACAGTGTCAGAGGAAAGAATATATTTTAAACCACAAAAATTTAAATACAGAAGTAAAGAATAATTATGTGCTATTTTTTAAGTGAATTTCCAACCATTCAGCAATTCTTAGCATGTTTAGACATCAGAATTTCATAGTTACAGTACTTAGAACAACTAAAAATTTAAGTGGTCAACCATTGCTTCTTTTTGCAGACAAGGAAATAAACTTGGAAGTCAACGATATCCCCTCCCCCAAAATCTCATAGTTCAATAATGTCCTGGGATTAGAATACAGACGTTTGACTTGTTTCCTGCTATAAACTCATTTAATAGCTTTTTTGAAGAATGATAATTTTTATTCTTCTGCTAAAACAAAAACAAGTATTACTCTGGCTCATTTTCGTTCAGCTGCATTGGTCAGCGAATATAGATAAGGTCTCAGAGGACAGACATTGAGCTACCTTCAAGTAAGATTTTTACCAGTTCTACTGTATTTCACATATTCAAAATGTGGCTTGACAAGTGAAAACAGAGATAGACAAATGGCACTACCTTAAACTAAGAAGCTTCTGCACCTCAAAAGAAACAGTGACCAAAATACAAAGACAGTCTACAGAATGGGAAAGGATATTCGCCGAATACACATCCGACAGGGGTTGATATCAAGGATATACAAGGTATGGGTTGAACTCCACAGAAGAAAACATCCAACCCCATCAAAAAATGGGGCAACAAAAAGAACAGAAACTTTCTCAAAGAAGAAATCCGAATGGCTAAAAGGCACATGAGAAAATGCTCTACATCATTAATCATCAGGGAGATGCAGATCAAAACAACAATGAGATATCATTTCACACCACAGAGACTGGCCCACATCCAAAAGAACAAAAGCAACCGGTGCTGGCGCAGATGTGGCGAGAAAGGGACACTCCTTCACTGCTGGTGGGGATGCCAACTGGTTCAGACCTTTTGGAAAACAGTATGGACGATTCTCAAAAAATTAGAAATTGAGCTCCCATTTGACCCAGCAATACCACTCCTGGGAATATATCCCAGAGAGGCAAAAAAGTATAGTCGAAATGACATCTGCACTTGTTTGTTCATTGCAGCACTCTTCACAATAGCCAGAATCTGGAAAAAACCTGAGTGCCCAAGAACAGATGACTGGTTAAAGAAACTTTGGTACATTTACACGATGGAGTACTATGTAGCTGTTAGAAAAGATAAAGTCATGAAATTTACATACAAGTGGTACTACATGGAAAGTATCATGTTAAGCAAAATGAGTCAGAAAGAGAGGGATAGACATAGAAAGATGGGGAACAAAAAGTAACAAAATAGGAGACTAACACCCAAGAGTGGCCGAGATTAGTACCAGGAACTTTGCTCCATGGCGTGGAGGCCAGCCACACATGCTAGGGGAAAAGGGAGCTCAGATAGAGAAGGGAGCACCAAATAAAGGGTGTTGGGAGGATCCTCCCAGAATGGGAGAAGCATGCTGAAGGTAGACTACAGACCAAACATGATTGCCACTCAATGCCTCTTTTACAAACCACAACACCCAAAAGGAGGGAAAGAGAACAAAAGGGAGTAACCTGCCACAGAGGCAGGGGGGATCGGGGGGATGGGGTGTGGGAGGGATACTGGAACCCGTGGTGGTTGAAATTGGGTACTGGTGGAGGGACTGGTACTTGATTATTGTGTAACTGAAATCCAAGCACAAAAATTTGTAAGTCTACAACTGTACCTCATGGTGTTTCACTAATAAAAAATTTTTTTAAATGTGGCTTGACAAAAGACACATGAAAAATGCTCTACATCACTAATCATCAGGGAGATGCAAAACAAAACAACAATGAGATATCACCTTATACCAAAGAAGCTAGCACACATCAAAAAGAACAAGAACAACCAGTGCTAGTATGGATGTGGGGAGAAAGGGACTCTCTTTCATTGCTGGTGAGAATGCCAACTTGTCTAGCCTTTCTGGAAAATATGGGTATTCCTTAAAAAACTAGAAATTGAGCTTCCACATGACCCAGCAATATAACTTCTGAGAATATATCCTAGGGGTGCAAAAAAAGCACAGTATAAATGACATCTGCACCTGTATTGTCACTGCAGCATTGTTCACACTAGCCAGAATCTGGAAACAACCCGAGTCCCTGAGAACAGATGACTAGTTAAAGAAACTATGGTACAACTACACAATGGAATACTATGTAGTTATTAGGAAAGATGAAGTCATGAAATTTGCTTATAAGTGAGTGAATATGAAGAGTATCATGCTAAGTGAAATGAGCCAGAAAGAGAGGGGCTTAGAATGACTGCACTAATTTGTGGAATATAAAATAACAAGAGACTAATACCAAAGGACAGTAAAGACATGGGCCAGGAAGACTGTTCCACAGTTGGAACCCTGTCTCATGAGCTGGGGGAGAAGGCAGCTGAGATAGAGAAGGGATCACCAAGTCAATGATGGTTGGAAGTATCACTAGGGATGGGAGATGTGTACTGAAAGTAGATAAAGGACCAAACATGATTGTTTCTCAGTATCTATACTGCAAACCATAAGGCTCAAAAAATAGAGAAAGAAGTAAATTGTCTGCCATAAAGGTAAGGGGTGGGGCCAGGTGGGGGTGGCGGGAGGGATACTGGGGACATCGGTGATGGAAAATGTACACTGGTGGAGGGATGGGTGTTCAATCATTTTATGATTGAAAATAATTAAAGTTTTATAACTGTATCCACAGTGATTTGATTTTTAAAAAAAAGTGGCTTGAACACAAATTAAATTCTGTATAACTTCTGACTAAAAGATTTTTTTTTCAATATATGCAAACTCTGAGTCACACTTATTTGGGCACTATCAGCAAAAAAGAAAACCTAGACCCTCAACAGTCAGTTAATCTTCTACAAAGGAACAAAAACTATGAAGTAGAACAAGGAAAGTCTCTTCAACAAGTGGTGCTGGGAAAACTGGTCAGACACATGCAAAAAAAAAAAAAAAGAACTTAGAGCTCTGTCTGATATCATGAACAAAAGTCAAATCAAAATGAATTAAAAAGCTTGATATCAAACCTGAATCCATAAAATATGTGGAGGAAGACAAGGGCAGATCTCTCCATAACATTGAAACTAGAGGCATCTTTAAAGATGAAACAATACTGACCAAGAAAGTGTAAGCAAGCATAAATATATGGGGCTACATTAAATATATGGGGTACAGAAGAGGCTTCTGTACATCAAAGAAAATGAAGACTAGAATACAAAGGCATCCCACAGTGGGAGAAATTATTTGCCCACTACTCATCCAAAGGGTTAATATTCAAGTTATATAAAGCATTAGTAGAACTTTACAAGAAAACCCTTCAAACAACTTTAAAAAATGGGGAGAAGAGATTAACAGAAACTTCCTCAAAGAAGAAATACACATGGTCAAAAGGCATATGAAAAATTTTTCTATATAAATAATCTTCAGGAAAAAAACACAAACACTATCCTCCCATTGTTCATTGATTTGCTTGAGCGGACCCAGTAACATCTCCATTTTGAGACTTGTTGTTACTGTGTTTGGCATATTGAATACATCATGGGTAGCTTGCCAGGCTTTGCCACGCAGGCAAAATACTCTCAGTAGCTTGCCAGGCTCTCAGAGAGGGGCGGAGGAATCGAACCTGGCTCGGCCAGGCTGGCTGCTCACAAGGCAAACACCCTACCCACTGTGCTACTTCTCCAGCCCGATCTTCAGGAAAATGCAAATCAAAACAACTCCGAGATACCACCTCACACCAAAGAAAGTAGCACTCATCACAAAGAACAAAAACAACCAGTAATGGTGTAGATGTGAGGGGAAAGGGAGCCTCATTCACTGCTGGTGGGAATGTTGACT